TTTTTCAGATAAAGCCATGCTTTCTTGTCTTCCTCTTGAGGAACCAGATTGCTCATCACCCGCAGCCTGTGGGATATCGCAAGGACCACGTTGATGCTGGCCCACCAGCCCGAGCCTTCGTATGGGTCACGGGAATACTGGCGTTCCACCAGATGCATAAAAGTCGGCTCATGGAACAACGGAAACATGCAGTTGAAGTTCTCGAAGAAGTCTCGGAAAAGCGACAGCGCCTCCTCTTTCGGGGGCAAGGGTTTGAAGACGCGCCGTGCAAAAATGTCACTGAAAATCTCGGGTTTCCAGTACATCCACTTGTTGTCGTCGACGTAGGCCGAAGATATCATGTCCTGGAATGAGGTGTCTCCTGTCTTCTCATTGACCCACTGAATGCCTTTGGGAGAAAATATCGAGAATCCCGAGGATGATCCTGTCATGGACGGTTAGTATACTATATGTCCCAGCAAACATTCGGGGCAAGGCCCTTGGCATACCGATATACCGCGTCTCTCCACAGTTGTTGGTCACGAGGGAGCACATCATATCCGACAGGCCCTCGACTTCGGTTTCCGATTCTTTCGTCGAATCTGGGGATGTCGCAGCCGTGCGCGGACTGGACTGGGAATCCATGCGAGGGGTCGAGTGGCGGGAAGTGGTGGTGGTCTGCTGCGATTGGGTGGCCGAGCTCGACGCATTGAATCTGTTGTTGGGACTCTTCATGGCACCCATTTGACCGGCCGCAAAAGACCGATCGGCCAACCGTTTCTCTAAAGTTCCCAGATCGGTTTTTCCACCATCATCCTCCGACAACAGACCAGACAGTCGTAGTAGCGATTCCATTCGCCCTAATCGATTTTCCAGGCCTTCGATGTATTTCGCACTGCACATTCCGGCGTCAGCGACGAGAAAGAAGGCCGGGGAGGATGCCAGCGAGCTTACCCTTTCGGCGGGTTGCGTTTCTTTTCAACCTGAGTGAAAACGCATTCCGTCTTGTAATTGATGCAGTGCGAGCACTTGGGCATTTTGCCGTCGCATTTGATCTTCTTTTTTCGGCACATATCGCAAGCCTGTAGGGGCACGGGTTAGTTTGGCGAACGTCGCGCCACTTCATGCGCACACGGGCCACGGCACTCACCCTCGCGATCCTTCTTCGTTTCGGGTCATTGCTATCGTCGCCCAAGCCCATGCCCGAGTCATCGTTGAACGTCGGGTTGGGGAGGGCGGAGGTGATCGGGGAACCGTCATTATTGTTATTATTGTAGGCGCCGAAGAGATGGGGCTGTTGGTTCATCAGCATGGGCATGTCGAAGCCCATGCCGTCGGTCCCATCTCCGAGGCCATCCATCACGGTCGGACACACAGAGTAAGGGGAGGCGGGAGAGGCAGGGCAGCTTGAGCTTCCCAGTGACGGAGTGGAGTCCAGGCGAAGCGGGTATTTGACTCGAGCGTGATGCGGGGTCCGGCCACGAGAGAGACGTCAACGTTGCTGATTTCTGAGCGAGTCCCTTTCTCGGGGATCGGGGGATTTCATGAAGGAATCGTGGGTGGAGATCTTCAGGTCGCAAGGTCCGACGTCAGGGTCAGGGTCAAAGAGGAAAGAAAGCGTTGAGTTTAGTTCGAGTTGCTTGTGAGGGTTTGGCTTACTCAATCAACCTTCTCGTCCTTGCTCTTCTCCGACAGCCGTCAGGGCACGTGGCAACGGCAGTAGGATATCAAAACAAAGAGAGAAATCTTAGCGAAGATGGAACCTTTAGCATCTACTGGAATATTTATCCAAAAGAAAAAAAAAAGAGATGACTCTACGGTGACGGAGGGGGGGAGAGGAGGGCAGATCCGTCCGTCATGATCGGAGGCCGCCCGTAATTCGTACGGAGTTCAATCAGCTTCTGAATAGTGCTGCCTTTAGTTTCTTAGTTTTCCACCCTTCCGCTAAATTAAATTTCTTTTTCTTTCTCGAAGACCAGAGACACAGGCCGACTAAACCGCATCCAGCCTGACTACACTCACCACCAACGCCCGAGCGAACTAATCAACGCCCTCGTCTGGCTTTTCCACGGCTTTCGCAACGTCCGATTCCCGAGATAAAACACGTTTCATGTGGGTTCGTCCTCGGCGACGGCTGTCCTGTCTCCGTAATCGCCGGTCAGCCTTTTCTTGGCTCGACTTTTTGCTTCTTTGAGTCTCCGACGAGGTCGTCTCGGATCCCCATTCTTCCGGCCGCTTTCTTTGACCGTGAACGCTCGCCCGTATTCGTGGTCGTATGATTGGAGCTGCCGTCCGACAAGATTCACGGACAGGGTTCTGCCATCAGGCGCTTCTCCTGGCTGTCGATCCCTTGGGGTGGTGGCCTGAAGGAATCCCCCCGATCACGTCCTGACCGGTTGAGGCCCAAGCATTCCGATCTCAGGTACCTCGTGAATCCGATCCCTGTTAGATCTTTATCGGTCGGAATGGTCCTAGCCTTCAATACGGGGTACCTATTCCGTAGTCTTTCAGGCTATTAACCTATTCCAAGACGGGATGGCGCCATGTCTACGTCAAGCCCGCCGTCGATCTAGTTTCATGTTTGGCAGACCATCTGGTCAGTTGCTGTTAACTATTTAACTACTAGTTAGTTAACTAACTATCTTATGCCCGCTTAGCTAAGAAAGTCTATTTGACGCCGGTCATCACCTCCTTGGAGACGACCCCGAGACGACTGGGATTTCTAGTCAAACCATAATCCTTGTACGTTGACCTCGGACGGAAAATATTATAAAAAGCAACGGTCAATAGCCAATCGGCTGGAATATATAGCATATGTTCTTGTAAATTATCAGGAGCGGCGATCTCAGGATATATCAATGTACATGTCTCCACAGAGTAAAGTCGAGAAGAAAAAGCATCTCGGCTTCGAAAATCCCACCAACGCCACGCTATGCATCGAAAAGTTATAATCTATTACACGGGTTGATACTTGCACATCATCCCCAGCCCCCCTTCCGATCCCGCAGATACTCCTCAGTGTGCTCAAGGGGGCTCGGTTCCGATGCGGCTCTAGGTATGCTTGTCGAGAAATTCCTTGGCCTCGTTGATCTTGGTGGCTAAGTACGGGCTGCCGCCACGATCGGGGTGGTTGAGGAGCATGAGCTGACGGTGCTTCTTGCGGACCTTGTCCTTGTTGAGGGTACGCTCGCTGTCGAGTTAATTAGAACGGTGCCTGGGCTGGGTTACTGCGAAAAGATCGTGAGAGAACATACGGGAGCTCGAGAATCAAAGACGCTTCGCGACGAGTCATCCGGGTTTCAAATCCTCTGTCCACAGGTCAGTCAACTGTTGCGTCATCTCGCCAAACCGCGTCGGGGCCAGGACGAAGACAAACCCCTTGTAAAAAGCCTTTCCCAAGCTGTTCACGCCTCCCCTGGAGCGCTGCAAAGCGACGTAACCGGCACGGCCCTGCGAACAAAGTTAGAAACAACCCGGTCAGCGGCGATGGCGGAACGCAGCGATGCGGCCTTCAGCTCCCAGGACATACCAAGAACGCGGCCGTAGCGACACCAAGACCCATAGCAAAGGTAGACGCCATTTTGAATAGTAGATAGTAGCAAAGATTATGGAGGATCAAGCGGTGGACAACAGTCAACGAGAAAGCCGAGGATGAGAGGTGGATGTTGGGGAGAAAACGGCGGCCGTCGAGATAAAATTCGGAGAGGCGGCGCCGATGCCCGTTCGGGATAAGCGTGGGGCCGGCCAGATCTGCTTCGTTCCGTCAACTTCGACTTCATCTCGTCTCCTCACGTCAATTTCCATCAGCCAAGCGATGTCTGCAGCGGGCGTGGCTCGCACTTCTGCGGGAAATTTCCAACTTTCTCCGTTCAACTGGACTGTGCCGTTCTCTGTCTACAGTACTTACTTATGCTACGTATAAACTACTACCTACAATACAAATACCATGCCATCTGTGCCTAGTTCTATTCTTTCACGCTGCCAACCGTTTTCATCAAGTCTTCTATAACCCCTTTGCTGATGCCATTCACCCAGGTGTAAAATGGCATTTTGCTGGTCCATGATGTCGATGCATGCGCATTGAAACTTGCTTGCACGTAATGTCACTTTGAAAGAACGAAGAGACAGACGCCTGCAAAGTATAGCCAAGAAACAAAGAAGGGAAATAAGAGAGTAAACGGCACTTCTATCGGTAGTGGACTTCTCTTAAGAAAACCCCTCTTCCCCCCTTTGACTGGGAAGAGGGAGGTGGATCCCAAGAATCATGGACCGCCACTTGCAGCATGTATCTGGTATCACCAATCACTCGCCCATAGACCTCCCCAAGATGGGCCTTAGGATCCAGTCTATTTCTCAGAGGTTCTGATGAGGAGAAATCCCCCGCAACAAACTACCCCAATGGCAGACATGCCCAGCGGGGCCCAGCGGGAGCTGCCATAGGAATGGGGGAAACAAAAGAGCTAGGCAACCTCCAGCATCTGTTCGCTGCCCCAATTCACCTGACGCAAATCCAAAAATAGATAGGAGGCAGTAACCGGCAACTTCCATTATCTTTACGGTGCCTCCATGCCATCTAACCAATGGGGAGGGGCGAATATCATAGATCACGGAGACTTCCATTTATCATGACCCCAAATTGGCAACCACGATGTCATCGTGAAGCTGTTCGTTTGGAAATGTGGTCACACGCCCATTCACCAGCCCCAACCAGTGAATGCACGCTCTGTCGTTGCCTGATCCCATGTCCTCTGATCCCCCAGGGCTTCAATATAAAAACCCCCTCCTCTCTTCCACCCTCTCTCTTCTCTTCCCTCTTCAACTTCTTTTTCACCTTCCAAACATCTCCTCTACTTCCAAATAATCTCGGCTTCCCAGCTATCTCGAATTCTTTTGCAATCATTTCAAATATTTATATATTCTAACAAGTAAGATACCTGCATATATCCTCTTCCTCCCCTCCATTATTCCCACGACTCTCGTCACTCTCTCCCTTTGACCCATTTGGCTGATGAGATGACAGAATGTGGTTCTTGCTCACTCTTGCAACCTTCAACGTTTGGGGTCTGTATTACCCTGTGCCTGGGCTCATTAACCCCAGCCAGAGCATCATGGCGAGAGCCAGGGGCGCCTTCGGGGCAACGTGCGTGGCAGCGTCCCTCAGTACTATGACGAAAGAAATCTATATTGCAAGCCATCAAGACGCAAGCTCCGTTGGCACTGCGGTTGGATTTCCTAGAGTCGAGTCACTGAGTGTGATTTACGAGTGGAATCCGGAGGATGATTTCCGCTGCTGGGAGTGGGAGAAGCCGGTCCCTGAGGTGTCAGTCCCTGAGCAATCTTCCATTCCCCCCTCAGACCCCCCTTCCATCCATCCTCCCTCGTCGATTGGAATCACCCTAGCGGCTAGCTGTGCTCTTCTGAACTTCATTGGCCGTCAACGGCGTCCATCCCCCTACTCAGAACGTTCCACGACGAAGACTGAGTCGGCCGATGAGAGTAAAGAAGGGACATCCTCAAGCCCTGTGCTTTTCCAGGAGCCCAAAGGTACAGAGGTTGCTAGGGAACCTTCGACGCTGCCTGGGGAGTCACACTCTGAGGTTAGTCCTTCGTCTCCCCATTTAGCCGGACAGCAAACTGATACAGAGCAGGTGAACCCGGAGGGAACAGTCGCCCCGGAGTCTGAAAGTGAAGAGGTTGCTAGGAATCTTTTGTATTCCTACCTCGCCGGGCCGTTTTCCTACCTGGACGGGATGCGACCCGACACTGAACAGACGGATCCGGAGGAGACGAGCACCGCGGACCCTGAGGACCCCCCGGCCACGCTTGCGGACTCGGACTCTGAGGTTAGTTCTTTGTCTCTGTACCTATTCGGGCAGCAATCTAATACTGAGCAGGTGAACCCGGAGGATGCAGCTGCCACGGAACTCAAAGGCGAAGGCGAAGAGGTTGCTACGGAACCTTTAATTTTGCCTGCAAAATTTCAGTCTAAGGCTGATCTTTTGTTCGCCTACGTGGCCGGGAAAGTGCCCTATAATCTCCCGCTGTATCCGGAGGATATGCCCCTCATGGATTTCGAGAACCCCCCAAGGACGCCCGCAGCTTCGTACTCTGAGGTTAGTCATTTATCTCTATACGTGGCCGGACAGCAATCTGACACTAAGCAGGTCAATCTGGAGGAGGCAGCTGCTACGGAACCCGCAACAATGCCTTCGGTGTCGCACTCTGAGGCTGGTCTTTCCTCTTCGTACCTGGTCGGGCAGCAGCCCGATACTGAGCAGGTGAACCTGGAAGAGACGGCAGCCACAGAGGACGACGCCAACTCGATCAGCAGTCGTCTTAGTTCTAGCAGGTGCCGACTCGGCAAGGCGAAACGGGACCGCCACAAAAGACGACTCACATACGAGGCAGCCGAGGCTGCTCAAGCTCAAGCTGAGGCCGAGGCTAATGCGGATGCACCTAGTGACCCTGCCCTGGAGCCCGAAGGGCAAGAGGCTGTCAGGGATCCTCCCATGACTCCCTTTTTGAAAGAGGCTCAGGCGGCTCGTGCTGAGGCTAGGGCGACTGGCCAAGACCAGAGGCCTGAACAGCCGGCCAGGCCCAGTCGGAGGATGCGGCGTCGTGCCAGGCAGGCGGCTCTGGCGGCTGAGGCTGAGGCTGGTAGTCCCAGTCAGGGGGTTTCTTGACCGATTGCGTGGAGGGGAAGATGGAGTCCTCGCTTGGCCCCGGCACCCGTGCAACTTGATACGGGTCTAATATCTCCATCGAAAGGCCGATGGCCCAGGTACCTGTACCCTTGCGATTCGTCTTCGAATCGATATCCCGCCCTGCTATAGTAAGGGTCGAATCGCCGACCGCGGGCCAGGCAATTTGTGGTCACCATCGTGGTCTGATCTGGAAAGGATCCTCGGGGCGGTCTTCGTTAAGTGTACCTTAGAGGCATGGTGCAAGTTCGGCCGTGGGTCAGTCTCCGGACGTGATCCTTCAAGGCTCGCTCTACTTCTTTGGTTAACTTGGCAAGATTTGCTGTGCAGGTGCGGACCAGAGCAGTGCCTTGCTGGGATCAAAATATTCCTGTTTGTTCCTTGGCATTCAAGCGGATTTGTTGGGAGGTTACTGGGCGCTCTTGGACTAAGGCTGGAGACGATGGTGGCCGGCTAGAGTTGACTGGTATGGAGCAATAAAAATTGATGAGAAGTGAGTGGTTTCTGAAATTCTCTTTTCGAAGATGAATGAAAGCTAACGAGTTGGACTTCACTGCAGGATTTTTCTTTTTTCCTGAATTCACTATGTTCTTTTGTTGTTGTCTGCTGTTTCATTTCTTCTGTTTTTCTATCTTCTTGTTTTATCTTCCTGATTTTACCTGTTGTTTTGCTTTATCTTGTACTCAAGTTCCTTTTCAGGAACATACTCATGCTTTTCTTCCCTGTTTTGTACGCAAAAAATGGAACTTGAGCAGAAAATCAAAGGAGACGGGAAACCCCCAAACAAAACGAAGGAAAGATTCGTATGTCTCCGGTATCAGATCTCTGATATCATAAACTTCAATTTGGTCTGGTCAAGCTGGTCTCTTATGTCTCCGATATCTTCTCAACGCGGAGCATAATCCACTTGATCGACTATAAGAAGTAATCACAAGATCGCGATGGGCTTTTCCCATCAATCGATCGAAGTGGCCACGAACGCAGCACCCATGCCACGAAGCAGTCGTCAATCCGTGGTCTTTCGTGCAGCCAACAATTCCAGCCAAACTGCTCAAGACAGACCAGCCAAAGCAAAAGAAGAAAAACTTCCAAGAACGAAGTCCAACCAACGAGCCACTTTGCAGACAGTCATTCTACAGTGGAGCATTCAGAGCTTGAGCAAGAGTTTAAGAAAACATGCTCGCTCTGCCTTCTCTCATGTCGAGGGATCGAGACTCGAAGCAAGCAAACCGACTTGTAATAATCTCGACGCGGATCAATCCAATTCTTTTGACATCCGCGTTGATAATCTACCACTTCGCTCTTCTCCTATATACCTTCTCGCGAAACCCTACGCTAAGGAATTGCTTCGGTCATATCCCTCCTGAAAGACCTATCGTGAGAGCTTCCATAGCAAGCTTGGAGAGAGGAACTTCTTCTTGGCCAAACGGGCGCAGAACGAGGTCTCAAAAGTGACAAGCAAAGAAATCTCAAACGATGTCATCTTCACGCCAGTCACCTCAGAAGTTGATGAGGACAAAGATTTCTTTAAAGACCCGGCATCCACCTCGACGGGAAGCTCCCTGGGCGAATATATATACGAAACACGGATAATGAGATAATGAGTTATGAATAACGACCACGAATTCATGATACCGAAGGCGATTATGATGACGAACCAAAAAAAAAAAAAAAAAAAAAAAAAAAAAAAAAAAACCCAACCCAACCCATGCCATGGCGTACTGTTACGGCCTTGAGAACCTCCAGGGTGCGTATTACCCGATGACAGAATGCGGTTCTTGTTCGCTCTTGTAACCTTCAACGTTTGGGGTCTGTATTAGATACCCTGTGCCAGGTACCATCATCAACCCCAGCTCCATCATCATGGCAAGAGCCAAGGGTACACCTTCAGAACAACGTGCTTGGCAGCGTCCCTCAGTACTATGACGAAAGAAATCTATCTTGCAAGCTGTCAAGACGCAAGCTCCGTTGGAACTGCTGTTGGATTCTGTCAGTAACCTGACGAAGAATTCCTATCTGGTCGTCACCCCCTTCTCTTTTCCCGTGCACAGTACGCCTTCTTTCTTTGTGTTGAGGACGCGTTGGGTTTGATTTTATTCCTATTTCTATTCTTTTCTTTTCCATCAACAACCTGACCCCATCTACGAGCCATCTTTACTCTCCTTTAGAACGCGGTCCCTTCGGTCAAGAGACATTCCAAGTGCCGCAATGGACAAACGTGAAGGTGTCTACGTCAACTTTGCCACCGGTGATATCAGCAGGAAGGATGTTGATAACGCGTGTGAAGCCTATGTAGGCAGGCGCCACTCGAGAGCTGCGGCAGCAAATTAGGGAGCATCTGACGATGGCAAAAAAATCAGTCGAGCAGTTGCAAGCTTCCATTATCGGCAGATTGCCGGGAGGGAGTTGAACCTCATTTCCGAATGCTCGCCGCTTTCGATAAGCCGATTCGCCGTGGTTGCCTCTATCTTTTGGAGGGTATCTTCGCATTTCCTGCTGGGGACATTCTTCAGCGGCACTCAGAATCCGCAAGAAGGTCCTGCAATCCGAGGTGAAGCCTCACTTGACAAGAAACTTGAGGGGGGGTCCTTGTGTTGAGGACGTGTTGGGTTTGATCTTGCTCCTATTTCTCTTCTTTTCTTTTCTTCTGAGTCTGGTTGCCGCTGGTTTAAAACAAAACAAAACAAAACAAAAAATGTTAAAATTAGAAAAAAAAAAAGAGACAGTAGGGACCTCCTAGCTCGAAATCATCTTCATCTGGGTATGCAGGGTCTCGGAAGTCTCTTAAAAACAGCTTGAAAGCTTCAAATCAAGATATTACCATTATCTACTCTTGCATTCATTATCTTTTCTTCCTTTTGACTAGGCAGCAAGACAGTAACTACTGCACCCACTGTATATGCTTTGTCCAAAGTAATCACCTACTTAGTCAACTACTCAGTACGGCCATGATATGATAATATCTTCATTCAAAGTATATCCCATTTCGGGATCTGTATACAGAAACAGAACGGGAAAAAAGTGGGGTCGAACAAGAGGACCCATGCAGAAGACCGAAGTCTTTATACGGAAGAGGAGCATGCAATAGTGATGTGGAAGAAATGGTACACAGAATGTGAGGATTTAGGAACCACTGATATGGATGGATATAGAGAGATAGAGAAAAAGAGAGGGAGAGAGAAAGGGAGCGAGTGAGACAAAAAAACCAAAAGGAAAATGTGATCAAAGAACGAGACGCAGGAGAACAAAAGAAATATTCAGGCATTCCAAGAAGGCCATCATGCATATTAGGGAACCCAGATCAGTCACACCGAGTGCAACGCCTGGGTAGTACAATCCCTGGGAATGTGTCATACACGCGAATGGGGGTGTTCAACTCCAAGGCGGCAAGGGCCTACCAAAAGGCAATAATCGCAAAATTCGCAAGAGCTCATACATGTCATGAAAGTTATCGCTGTAGTACAGCGGAGGGTTGGTCCGCTGGGTTATATGTTAAGAATGAGATAAGGGGAGTGCAGAACGCAAAGGGTAAAAAGAAATATCAGAACAAAAATAATCAAAAGTAGAGGGAAAAAATTTAGGTGAGCACAGGGAAATTGGGAGCCAGGTTTACTCCTCCATTCGACCAAAGACGCCGTCGTCGTCATCATCGGCTGCGACGGGGCGATTCCCGAAGTCAACGTCCGCGTTGCGATTTTGGCGTGTGGTACGGTCGGTACCTCCCATCTTCACATCTCGCTCATCCGATACCTTATACGACAGAGATGGGTTGTACGAAAGAGAGAAGAAGATGTTCGGTGTGGAGTTGGCGAAGTCCGTATCCGTTTCCTTGATACCCTCCCGGCCTAGGCTCTGGCTCTGGTTGCCACCGGAGCCATTCTGGTCCAGGAAACGAGTCGGCAGAGGGGGCACAGGGGGAACGCTGGGCGAAAGGGGTACGGGACCGGTGCGAGGGGTGCCGAAGTTGCAGAGACCAATAGCCGCGGCCAGGTCTGCCTCATCGTCGTCTTGCAGCTTGGCCTCCGCCGTGGAGGGTCGGGTGTCGATGCTCGAATGGCGGAAGTGCGAGAATGCCGGCGAGGCCCACGGCGCACTGCTAGTGAATGAACTCGACGGGACGGACTGGTAGGAGTGGGCGAAGTGGCCGATCGAGTTACCGACGCTGTACCGCTTGTCCGAGGGTTCGGGAGACAACTCATAATCATCCTCGTCCTCGTCCATGGGTGGCGGAGTCGTCTCCACCGAGCTGAGTCCATCCCGAAGCTCGGACGAGGCATCTGGCGACGTGGAGGAGATCTCCGAATCGGCATCCGGGCCCTCTGGGGCCGGGTCCTCTGTCATGGTGACCAGGACCGACGCAGCTTCCAGCAATTGAACTTGCTGGTGCTTGGAGATCAAGAGCTTCGAGGTAATAGCCCATGCAGGGTCGTGTTCCCACCTAAGTTCCATAAAACGTCAACCGAATACGGTCCCCATGACACGGAGGGAGAGAGGGAGAAAGGAGAAGGAGCTGCAACAGTTCAGGAGCGGAATGACCACGAGGGCGACCTTGCACAGAGCCGACATGGCGCATCTACTCCGGCTCGAGCCAGACGGCAGGATGGCGGGTTGGGGGGAGGATACACACATATGCTTGGACAAGCAGCTGCCATGCTTATACCCTTTCCCGCAACGTTCGCAGCGAAGTTCCGCCATCACGCGCTTCCCATCGCCTTTGGGCAACTGCGACCCCTCGCTGGCCCGACGGTTCCTGTTCTTGGTACTGACGGGCTTGGAAGCGGAGTTGCTCCCATCCACGGCGGTGGCCGATGATTCATCGTTGGGCTGGTTGGGGGAGGATTTGCGAGCGACCGGAGGTTCCTGACTGGGGCTGTTGACGCTCCGCGAGAGATAAGAGCCGAAGCCGGAGGGGGCTCCGACCGAGCTAGACTCCAAGCCCTTCCGACTCCCACGACGGTGCGAGGACACCGGTAAGCCCACCGGTTCCCCTGAGGAATCCTTCATCGAAGCTGCGACCGCCGCCGCGGCAGCATTGGCGGCGGCAGCGGTGGTGACACTCTTTCGACGAGTGATTCGGTGGTTGGCGTTGACGGCACCGAGCGAAATGGAGTGGGAATGGTGGCGGGATTGAGGTAGAGGGCGGGACAGAGACAATTCCTATTGCCATGAGGTTTACACGAGTTAGATACACGATGAATATATTGTAAGGGATTCGCGGGGGTCAATATTTTTTTTTATTTTTTTATTTTTTTTTTTTTCCCTCAAAAAATAATAAGGAATAGGGAAAAAACTGCGTACCTTGAAAGAGGCCATTATGAGTACGTGGACACTCGGGCGATCAATCTCCTGAAAGCCCGGTGATAACTGTCGAGATCAAGACGGCGTAGAGATTTGGTCAACGTTGGTGAGAGTAGCACGTAGCGAAAGAGTTGAAAGGAGGAGGGAACTTTTTTTTTCTAAGAAAAAAAAAAGAGCTGATCTTTGGGGATAAGAAAAGGGTTCTTTGGACAAAGAGCGGGCAAGAAGGGCAATGAACCAAGGAAGGCCGAGGGGCTGGTTGGGGCAAAAGTAACGGAAGTGGGCAATTGGGTTGGAGGCAATTGAGAGGGAAAGAAAGAAGGGGACCAAAAAAAAAGAAGAGAGAAGGGAGAGCGAGCGAGAAGGTGTGCGTGCAAGGAAGAGGGGGATGGGCGACGAGGGAGAAAGAGGAGAACAGACAGTCGAAAGTCAAAGAGGAGAAGTTCACCAGAATTCAGAAAATAAAATAAAATGCAAGAAGGACAAGAGACCAGGAATCCAGACTGGACAATGGAGCAATACGGTAATGGCCAGTGGTATTCTGGTATCTGCCGGACGCTAAACCCATGATTCTTAGAATATTGGAATATTATAATATTAATATTTATTTATTATTCTTCCATCAGCTCCAAAGCAGCAGGGAAAAGAAAAAGAAAAAGAAAAAATACCAAAATAAATGGGATTTGCGGGGGCCTTTTTGGGCCATTTGGGTTCGCTAGTCCTGGTTGCTTTTCAGCAATGCGGGGGTTTGGGCGATCGCCAGCTCTCTCTGAATTTAATTACTTCCTGAGGTGCCCCCGGGTTCTTTCAGGTTCCTTGAGCAGATAGTTCACTAGGACTCTATGAGGCATTCTCTTTTCCTCGTCACGTTATTCTCACTGCTCTCCCCCTCCTTCCAATCACCTCGACCGGTGCCTGACTAACAGCCCGCGACGAGGCCAACGAGGCCGGTGATGCCATCTGCTCCACTCGCATCTAGGATCCGATGACTGGGCAAGGGAAAAAAAAGTGGTCCTGGTGATGTTATCGGCCAATTCCGTTGAAGCGACCGACTTTCCCATCATGAAACGGTTCTTTCGAGAGAATTGGAACAGCCTCGATGGGGTAGTCGAAGGCTACGATCATCTGCACCGCACGAGGTCACGGGTACTGGAGAGAGAGGAGGGAGGGGGATTCGACCAGGTACCCTTTTTTTCTGATCCTTTATTGTCATTCTTTTATCTCTCTCCGTAGTATTATTTTAGTATTCTTTTTTTCTTCTGTCTCATTCTTTTCATTTCAAATGGATTTATTTTGGCAATGCCCTGCAGGAGACCGGCAACCGAAAGAGCAGCAGCCGACTTGAAGAAGAAAGAAGGCATCTGACAAAGCCGGGTAAAAACAGGGCCCAGGATGCAACATGCGACAACAATCCAAAAAAAAAAAAAAAAAAAAAAAAAAAAAATCACTCAATTTGCGATGATCCGTGCTGTGGTTTTGTTCCGGTGACCATACCGTAATACGCAGGAATCGGCGCATCGACCGGTCTAGGGCCTGTCGGGTGGGCTTATGATGTCATGCCCCATGACGGTATCGTACCGTATGATTGGCAGAGGGGCGGCTCCCCCGGAGTGTCTGGCGGCCTTAGTCAGGTTACAAGTGGTATCGGGTGTGACGGTGACCTGTTCGGTCCGGTGTTCTTATCTCTCCTTCCTGGAATCCCTGCCTCTGGACGAACCTTCTTAGTCAGGGAGCTTACTCGGTAGGTTCGTTGGCCCTGCTGCCCTGGAGTCTACTCAGTACTCAGTTTGCCTGGCGCCTACAGTATGCCTGAGAGCCTGTTTAAGACCCTCCTGGGACCTGGAGCATTCTTCCGGTCCTCGTGGTGACAGCCCATTATTGGAGCGTCATTGTTGTTTCAGCGATCCATGTTGCACACGCTGCCCAACCAGTCCTTGAATAAATAGTGGGGACCCGCCCGGGCTAGTTGTCACTGCTACTTTTTATTCGGTTTTATTTTTATTTTTCCTTGTCGCCCTTCCCACATTTTCCCGACCGACTTTACTGGCTTTGCGCCCTGCCAGGATCACGCAACGGTGACTTGGATTGTTCTTTGGGATGTTTTTCTTGACGTTTTTGTTGATGTGATTATCATGAACCGTTAATGCTTCTAGGCACTCCCTGTCGTCGAATGTTCTCCGTCGAGGCCAACAATCAGCCCCGGCGAGATGAGAGCGATCTGCCAATGCCGAAATGACTGGTTTCGGCTCAATCTTAGCCTGGCACGCTGAATACTCCACCAAGACACTCACCCTTACTCCCTACTCGACCGGACAGGCGACCTACCTCGACCACAACTTGCCATACTCGAGCGAGAGGCCACAAAAAATGATCACCTTTTCGCACCAAACTTCTCGCTGAACGAAGATGCGGATACTCATCCCATTGGCAAGAATGCCCTTTTCGATGCAGACGTCGTCTTGATCAACCTAGTCTCCAGAAATACAGATCAGAGGATCCATCCCTCCTATCTTACAACCGTTACAACGTGGTTTGCCCAAACAACGGCACTTTAGTCCTCCGCCGCCTCGCAGAAACCTAACTCGTGAACACGCAGGCTGCAAGGCCCGTATCCAATGACGCGGATCCGGATCATTGGGCTAAGGCTTCGACGGATTAACAGCGCAGTTGATGGCAGAGCTTGCTCGGCCAACGAGAGGGATCCAACACGAACGTGCACATAAGCAGGCGGACGAGGGGAGCGATTCGGTCGGTGATCACCCAACGGGGATATTTAGGTATCCGTGCAATCTGCTCCGTAGAAGGCTTGCATTGCAGCCACGTAGAGCCAGTCTTCAGGCAATAATTGAATAACCCCGTCGATAATAGACCATTCCGGGGAAAAAGTATAAAAGACGGATCACATGAAGATGAAGGCGGTCTCTTTCTGCCTGTTTACTTGCAGACCGCAAAGGGGAACTGGCCAATCAGAGTAGAATTTGCGGCCAATTTTTTGGAGTCGTCGGACAAATGCCGTGCCTGTATTATGAGATCCGAAAGAAAAAAGAGAATTTCAAAATCTCTCAATTGCAGCCTCAACACAATATCCTCGATACATTGAGGACTTCACCGAAGATATCACCGTCGAATCTCCTCTATCATCATCCCCATCATGCTTCTTCACTCCCGCCTTCGACCCCTCCCCCGCCGTCAGAATCAACAACAACCACCACCATGCCCCTCTTCTGCCCCTCCTCCGGACTTCCAGGAGGACGAAGTCGACGATGAATCCCCCGAGGACCTCTTCACGTCCTTTCTTCCGCATCTCTTCCCCGACGACGCTCCCTCGTTCCACGGAGACCCCGGCCAGCAACTCCTCTACTCGTCGCCGCGCTATGGCAATCTCGAGATCATGGTCCCGTCCTATCCCAACCAGAGCGAGAAACGCACCGAGGAGATCGCTGCCGGTCAAGCGCGGTCCGACGGAAAGAAGAACGAGGTCGAGGAGGGACGGAAGCTGTTTGCGCATTTTCTATGGAGCGCGGCGATGGTCGTCGCCGAGGGAGTCGAGAAGGCTGATGCGCTGGACAGCGCGGGTCAATTGGATGCTGATACCGCGATGTGGCTGGCCAAGGGCCATAGTGTGTTGGAATTGGGAGCCGGTGAGTCCTCATATACTCCCCCGTTCGATCTCTTTTGGAATCGCTGGCATCCGCACCCTCTGTTCACGAATTAACGTTTATACTTAGGCGCCGGTCTCCCGTCCGTCATCTCCTCCCTCGCAGGAGCCTCCCCCGTCACCATCACCGACCACCCATCCTCGCCCGCCCTCTCCGGCGCCATCACCTCCAACATCGACCACAATATCCAGCCATCAAGGCTATCCACCGTGTCCATGCAGCCGCACGAATGGGGAACCCTCGAGTCCGATCCCTGGGCCCTGTCCGCCAAGGGCACGTACTCCCGCATCATCGCCGCAGACTGCTACTGGATGCGCTCGCAGCACGAGAACCTGGCGCGCACGATGCTCTGGTTCCTGGCGCCGGGCGGCAAGGTCTGGGTCGTGGCGGGGTTCCACACGGGCCGGCCGATCGTGGCCGGGTTCTTCGAGACGGCGGTGACTTTGGGATTGGAGATTGAGAGGATCCATGAGCGGGATTTGAACTCCATCACGGAGGATGGGCAGGAGGTTAGGCGGGAGTGGGTGCCTGAGCGGGAGGGCGAGGGGCCGGAGAATCGGAAACGGTGGTGTGTGGTTGCCTTGTTGAAGAGACGAGGGGAGTAGAAGAACGGTGGAGTTGAGACTTTGTCCATCTTTGTTTGATCGGACTTGGGGATGATGTGCATGAGCGACTGACTGACTTACCTACAGCATCTGGATAGAGAGACAAGACACAAGCCGTGCTGTGTCATGACTGATGAATGTATGACCAATACATATAGACAAATTGACCATTTAACCATTGATCTATCTCCATGCATCTATCTGTAGATCTGTAGATCCATCTATCCATCAGATCAAATCAAACCCTCTGGAAACAAACCGTACACACCCCCTGCCCTTCCTTCCCCCCAAACCTGAATCGCGGATATTCCACCCGACCCCAGACCTGCAATCGATCCTCGGCTTCACTCTCAGTCGCAGACTGAGTAAACCACTGGACCAGCTCCTCCTCAGTCCAATTGCAACTCGTCACGACCAAAAACCCACCCTTGCGCACCAACCGCCTCGCAATATCAGGGTATCGCTCACAGACGCGTTTCTGGATCCTCTTCGTCCCGGACCCGATCGTCTTCGAAACCGATGGTTCCGTGCTCGCACTCTCAACCGTCTCATCCGACAACGACACCGCGTCAAACGTGCCCTTGTCCAACACGATATCGAACCCGCCTTTGGCATAGGGGAACCAATCCAATTGTCTCTCGCCATCACCAGGCCCGGACAAGGCATCCGTCGAGGATAAGATATCCCACTCTTCAAAGCGGATGTTAGTATCTTTATCGGCGTCCCCTTTCACAACGTCGCCCTTCTCAGCTCCCTCCCCATCCTCACCCCCAAAATCCGAATCATCATCGTCCGAATCCGACAAATACGCCGAATGAATCCTCAACCTCTGCAACTCCCTCGCCAACTCGACACTCCTCGGCGAATAATCCACTCCGACCATCTCCCCACCAAACTTCCCCTTCTTCCGCAACAGAGCCAACATACTCCCGTTCCCGGTGCCTAGGTCAAGAATACACGGCTCCTCCCTGTGTCCCTCCTCACCATCGCCTTGTTTACCACGAGAAGCTCTCCCAGTCTGGCGGGGGGCGAGCGGGAACTCCTCGTCCGTCAAAAACTGCAATACCTTATCGGGGGCATTATGTTCCGAGAACCATGACGTGCCGGGGTCCGAGTCGTCGTCGATTTCATCCTCGTCATCGTCGTCCTCTTCCTCATCGGAGTCGGAGTCGGGGTTGGGATTGTTGGTAGATGTAGAAGACTGCGGTAGACGAGATGATTTCGTAGTCGAGGAGGGGGTTTGTTTCGTAGAGAGATGCGCGAGGGTTCTCGCGTAGAAAGTTTCCCAGCTATTTTTGTTTGCGAAGTTCCTTGCGGGTTAGTGAGTGTTTATTTCATTTTGCTTCATAGTGCAGATTGGGCTTCATGGTTTCCATAAGGTAGGTCACGGAGATAGGTAGGTATCATTAACAGGGCTATGTATGAGGTTGGATATCGCAATGGAGGGGCGATCCATCCTTATAGCATAGCGGGGTAGGAGGGGGAAAAATTCAATCCAGTAGTTGTTAAATAATAGCGCAATAAGCACTTACTAGTCTTTCGTGCCAAGCTCACTAGGAGACAGATGCGTTGGATGACTGTCTTCGGCCATGATCTATTTCTTGCTAGACAATGTCTGAGGGTCGTTGGAGAGTTGAGTCGAGTCGAGGGAAGACGGAGGGGAAAAATGACGTTTGGGCGGCGGGTGCGGGTGGTTGGTTTACATACCTTACTTACCTACTCAGACCTACCTATGAGGGGCATCTACCTCTACAGCTACATTCACACCTACAGTTTCCTACGTTTCTTGAGTAGTTAAGAGTTTGAAAGTTTGAAGTTTATATTTCTTTGCATTTGTTGACTGAATCCACCATCCGCCCGCCTCCCATGGGTATTCTTATCGAACCTGCGAGACCTAAAAAGAATGGAAATAAAACACGTTGGAAGCGAATGGAATGGGGTTGGTCGAGGCTCAGAGAATGTTCGTTCCTCAAGATGGTGGAATGCAAAGCACGAATCCCAGAAAATAATATTACAAGTTACCAGGCGCGAAGGCTCGATGGCCTCCTATCTCTTTTAAAACACCCCCGGACGCCGATATTCCGAAGGCATGCAAAAACCCCCGTCAAGTGAAAATGCAGTCAAGTGCAACGTAGATGGGAAGAATGGAAGTAACGACAGCAAAGCCTGCTTTGGTCATCAAATCATCACAATAGAGACAAGGTGAGAAAATGAAATCAAGCAAAAATGGTGAGGAGATATTCAAGGAAAGACAGCGAGAGTGAGGGAGAGGAAATCCCGAGTTGGTTTCTCTCAAGTGTAGAGGATAATGAAAGACAATAGCGAAAGTAGGCCATAAAAGGCAGCATCCCAATAATGGGAATTATGATGAGCAAAAAAAAAAAAAAGAAAAAGAAAAAAAGGGTGAAAAACAAGTCATGCAATCATTTCTTGGGTACAACAAAGGCAAAACACCCGTCCCAACAAATTGAGACAGATGAATTATAGAAATTCGTCAATACTTCTCATGATCAGACGCTCGTTCCCGGGCGGAGGGGACCGAGGATCCGCTATCCTGGCCCGGAACTTGAGACCATTAAGCCCGTCATCCTCGAGAACATCGGAAATGGAGGGTGCCGAGGGAGCGGCCATAAACCCGGTGGTTCTGGGTGAGAACAGCTCCGAGGGTTCTTCGGGCACTTTGCGCACGAAGAGATCGGTCTTGGCCAAGGAATAGGGTCCGCCCTCGGGGAGCCAGGGGTTGGTGCCAAAGTTGGGTCGTATCGACCGGAATGATGAGTCGAGCGTGTGGAAGGTGGACTGCCGCAGAGGCAGTGGCCGCGGCGATAGACTCCGCTTGTGCGAAAGTGGCTTGGAGAAACGGGGGCTGTCGGTGGACGTGGGGGTGGTTTGGTTGGTGGAAGGGACGGAGAGGGAGCTCGTGGATGCTTGTGACAGACCATTTGACGAGGACTGTCCAGCGTCCGAGTCCCCGCTGAAGCAACCCGGCGTAAAAACCTCCGGGTGGCCCAATCTCGCCGATCGGGGGGGCTGCGGCTCGGAGCTGCGGCGTGGCCCGCGGACAAACCATTCTTCACGGGCCGGTCTGGAGGGACTCCCTCGAAGAAGCCGCGAGCGGAAATCCGTCAACTGATAGATCAGGCTCATATTCGGCCCGACCCACTGACTTCTCCCTTTGACGATTTCGTACATGGAGTTAAAGTCAAGGTGGCGGTTCTTGTAGAGACCGTAGGCAATCACCAGGGAGGCCGACCGACTAGCGCCGAGCTGACAATGCACCAGGACCTTTTTGCCTTCGGCGATGCGAGCATCAATGAACTCGCAGAGAGGGTAGAGGTCGTCAAGAATCTCCGAGTTGTGATCCCAGTCCACATGGAGATATTCCGGACCAGATTCGGTGCGGGGCGTAGCGGGCGAGTCGGTTGCGCTCTGAGGATACTCGAAGGCGGACTTGAACGACACTTCGGAAGCAGCGGTTCGTGGCTCCCCGGTCGACATGCGCTTCTCGCCGGTCGAGGCCTTGCGCAAAGTGCTCACGACGGTGCCATTGTCGGCGCTCGTATTAGTGAAGGGGTTGGCCACTTCTTTGGCTACATTCACAACCACGTCAAATTGCGAGGCTTCTTGCGCCGTCGGCTCGAGATAGAGGTAGACTCCGGAGTCGTAAATTTGAATTGGTCCGTTCGGATAGCCGCGGTCATTGCGCCGAGTGGATTCTCGCGAATCTAAATGATCATCCTCTTCCTGTAATTCGTGCAATACACCGCCCGATACAGATTCCTCATCCGGAACAGGTTGCAGGGGCGACAGGTTATCCTCCGAGGTTCTCGACGGTCGTCGGCTGCCATGATGCGTCATGGGTCGGGGCAGCTGCATGCCGCCCTTCGGGCCAAACGACGGGGAGAACACCGACGTTAACGAAGGCGAGGATTCCGTGTGTCGTAGCGCATGCGGGGTGGGAGGAACGATTTCAGGAATGTTATTGGAGAACGATCGGTCGAAGCCAGGCGTTCGGATGGTCAAATTCGCTGGTTTCCGCCGACTGCTTTTGGGCGGAGCGTGCATCGGGGACGGGGGGGCCGACAGATGATGCTGAGAGGATGTTTCGACCATCGAAGCCGTCGCGATTGGAGGGCGGGCCGAACTGGAGGGCGGAGGCATTCGCAACGACAGGTTTTTGAGGTTGCGGGCGCGTCTTTCGGGCGAATCCGGGCGCGCCGGGTTCGAATTGTCCGACGGCAGTTTCGGGAGGGCGTTCTGAGGCACCGAGAGCGTCTGGCTCTCGACGTTGCGCACGGGTGGCGTAAATTTAGGATAGGACAGCGGCATCGACGACGGGGATTCCGGAGAAGAGCTGGGGGACGTATCGAGGCCGGAGGGCGAGTCGAATGTGGAGATGGTGGTGGTTGGAGAGGAATCGGTAGAGGCCGATGTCATGGACGAGATACTCTCGCGGTGCTGGAAGGGAAGCGGACGTCTCGAGGTGTTGATGGTAACATGGGTGGGCAGTCGGAGAGGCTTGAGGGTTGCGTTTTGCTCCTCCTTGGCGGAATAATCGGACAACCCTCCACCAAATACCGACATGAAGGTAGGGAACGAGTCCGGGAGTGACGGTGGACTGGTTTGAACGGGCATGATGGATCCAGACTTGGGGATGGACCTGCGTTTGAAAGGGGGCACCCTTTCTGGTTCGCAGCAGTCGCGAAACGCCGGCGCAAAGATTGATGAGCAATTATTGCATCCAGACGGGAGAGAAGGTAGAGTCGCACTTGCTACCAGAGCAAATGACCTTTTCGACAGAGCACAATCAGCTTCCATGTTCTTGAGATTGTTTGGCGCTGGAAACAAAAACGAAGGACACCCAAAACGGGGAATAAGCAAGCAAGCACAGCTGCAAGGAGGATGAGACCAGGCCGACGATCTGAACTTTAAAAGGCCCACAGCAAGAGCTACCGCAGGCAGAGTGCAGGAGGTAGGAAGGGCACGGGGAGTCTTCTATCTCTCAAATCTCGACAAAACACAGAATGAAGGATGCGCGCAGGGACAGTGGGCCTTGACGGTTCAGAAAAACCCGAACATACCAGAGAATGCTGCAAGAGGGGCGTTACCTCTTTTAGAACTGTCAGTGATATAAAGGATTGTGGAGGTTTTCAAAGAGAAAGAAAAGTCAAAAAAGACAATGGATGCCGAGTAGAATCGAAATCACGTAGTAAAAATAAAAGATCAAAGGAGGGTGGAAAGGTAGGCAGTGGGTAAGGATTACTGGCGCAGCATCCAGGAAGGAAAGAGAAAGCAGAAGGGAAGAAATAAAAAGGTATCAAAAAAAAAAAAAAGAAATGAAAATAAAAATAAAGTGAATAAAACAAATTGTTGGATGTCAAGTCCGACTCCGTAGGTACGTCGCAGGAATAACGGAGGGGGGAGTTTGCCGCCCGGTGTTCGTGTGGGCAGCCGTTCCTCCGACGACAGCAGCAGGAGGGTCAACGGTGCAGGAAGGATGGGAAGAGAGAGGGAGAAAATGAACGACTGCCCACAGCCCAAAGGAAAGAAAAGGGCAGCTTGACGTGAAGAACCCTGACTAGAGGGAAGAGGGAGGGGGGGGAGCAGATGGGAGAAAGGAGGGGTGGGTGGAGGAGGGGGGAACACGATCAAAGAGGAAGGAAGAGAGAGCGAGAGAGAGAGCGTGAGAGCAAAGAGAGGGAAGCCGCGAGGGAGCGAACCTCCAAATAGAAGAAGCCGTAGAACTAAGAATAACCAGCAGTAGTTCGTTTGGGAGGGCGAGAAGAACCTGGTTGGCGGCCGTGATTGGACCCGTCCGCCCGCGTTTCTGACGGATGACCAATCACGGCTCAGGGAAAAGTGGGTAGGGAGGGCGACAGGCTCCGGTCAACCAGATGTGGGCGAGCCAATCAGCATCCGTCGCCTGCAGCTCTAAATTTAGCCGCCCGGCCTGCCTGAGACTGGAACTCTGGAACTCGCGGAGGCTGGACGCTGCATCATGGGCGCCAAACACTCGCAAATCACAGCCCGCCGCCCTCCCAACGCCGGCATGTCCACCCCCTCTCCGTTGACAACACCATGACTGGCGGTGGATGGGGATGCGGATGGGGATGGGAGAGGTGACGAGCGAGGGCATGTGGGTATGCTTCTGATACAACCCAGGGGGAAGTGGAGGAATCATAGTATGTGCATCAGAAGCCACAGATCACAATCCATGGACCCCATCCTTGCACCCGTCATCCTCATGGCTCATTGGCTCTCTCTCTTCTTTTCTCTCTTTTTTCTCTTTTTTTCTTTTTTCCGTCCTCCTTTCCTCGGCCCTGATCTTCATATTTCCCTTTCTGGAATGCCTCTTTGCGAGAGACGATCCCAGACATAGGAATATCAATTGCTGAAGACTCGGGTGGAGAGACAAGGACAAGAAGGGAAAAAAAAAAAAAATTTCAAGTTCCACAATTGGAGCCAGTGAGGGGGCGAGAAAGAATGGTAGAGGTAGGCCAACGTAGGAAGGGAAATGAGATATGGAGCCCTACTACGGGTACCAGACCCGACTCAAGCATTGGGAATTGGGATGACATAAAGGTGATAAACAAAACAGAAACAAACCCATAAACAAATTAAATCAAATTAACAAAAACAAGAGCAAACGATCGCAGTCCAAAAGAAAAGAAAAGAAAAGAAAAGAGAAAAAAAAAAAAAAAAAAAAAAAAAAAAAAACATGACAAAAACTTGTCCGTACCTGTCTTGAAGCCTTCTTTGCTTCCTGTTTCCCAGATTCCTTCAAATCCAGCAGGACGGCTCAAATCCAGCAGGACGGCGCCGTCAACGGCCCCCAAGAGAAGAATCTATGCCGAAGAGGTACTAGATCACAAGTAGGATTGCCACCGGAGCCAGGCGATGGAAACCGGAACGTCCGCAATGAAATCCTTCCTCAACGAAGGGATCACGGTGCAGTTAAGGTGGGAAGGTGGAAAGTCTCCAGGAAATTTCCAGAAGGGATAGGAGAACCCAGGGTCGATTGGGATATCCCACGAGGCTTTCGATAGTGGTAGTGATCGATTGGGATGGACACGCTGTGGCACATCCACGCAATAGAACTGCAGCGGCAATGCCAAATTGGGACTATTATTGGGACTCTGTGACCCGCTTCCGGGTGCACGGTGCTTTTGCCGGTGTTTGCTTGTTGGGGTGATGAGGTAAACAAAGAACCTACAAACAAAGAACTGGGGGGAGCGAAGCAAGGGCTGGAGAGAAGCCAAAGGACAAAAAACAGAAATGACACGGGCCTCCCAGAAGCGCCAAACAATTAGAAAGAGAAGAGAAACAGCATCAAGAACAAGACAAGTGACGGAGAGGCGAGACCGCTCTTTTACTTGATCTTGAATGGCAAATTTTGTGGTTTAGTTTTTTCCGCAGGGACCTCCCAGTCGGGTATAGAGGCTCTGGAGGGACACAGCGCAAAGGTGAAACGAGAAGGCTGACGGACTGGGGCCAAGTTCACCAAACACAACCCCTGGGACGGACGGACGGGCACTGATTGGGCAGTGATGGGACAATCTGCGACGCGGTTTGGGATTAGTGATTTAGTTGAGAATTAGTGAGGAAGTGGACGATAATCCCGGGCCACACATTGGACGGAAAGGCAGGAGACTTGAGGGGAGGCAGGGAGACGCAGCTGAAACATCGCCGTGTGCGCGCTAACTCATGCCAATGGAGGGGGGAGTTTGGGCCCGTCTGAAACGCGCCAGTTCCATGCTAAGCCCCTAGTCCGTCACGTGTGTCTGCATCCGGGACGGACTCTGGTCACTGATCCCAGACGGAAGGGCCCAAAGACGGACAGTGACAGTCCCAGACAGGAGGGGAAATGCAGCTTTCGCAATCATGATGCACGATGGTCAGGAGACCGCCGGACAACTATGCTGAATGCTGATAGTGTTTTATGTCATCGATCTTCCTGCTTTTCTCTCCTTTCCTCCCTGTCCTGGTGTCCTCCTCCACTTCGACCTTCCCCCATCCCCACTCCCACTGTCGCCACCTGAGCGTCGGAGTGCTGAGTACGCAAAACAATACATCATCCCCTATGTCTATCATTCTTGAGACTTCGCCCCGGACACCATGTTGCACGGAGGTCAATCCGGAGCACATCATCATCCTCAACGGTGTTTCATGTTCGGCCCTCCCTGAATTTTCCACGTGGTTTCAACGACCAACTGAGTCGCAAGCGAGTCATTGTCAAGGACGCAATAATGACTTACACCGGACGGAGTAGGAACCCTAATTCATGAGAACGGTTAACTAGAACTTGGACCTGCTGTTCGGTCTTCAAACAGACTGCGGTGGGGATACTTTGATTATCCAGTACCGTTGGCAAATTGGACCTGGCAGAATGCCATATATCTAACCCGCCCGTGTCCTTTTTGATCCAATTCTTTTCCTATTCCAGCCGTCGAGCTAAATTAAGTGCTCTTAGGTAGCATGTCCGACCGATGGATAACACTCCTGCATTTAATCTATCTGACCGGTGGCAGATGGTAACAATAACTAACAAGATGGAGATCCGCCGCGTTCTTCTCGCCAGATCCGCCAGATCCGTTCATCTACCACCGAGGATACGAAAGTTACGAACCCCATCCTTAGCTTGCCTGAGACCTTTTTTTCAGATATATTACCCTCGGGACACACGTTCCCTGCACCAAAAAAAAAAAAAGAAAGAGGAAAAGCAACGAGAAGACCAATCCTTTCGCTGACGGGTCAAATTAACGTCTCGGATTTCATTTCAACCGTGGATCCTGTCGCTTATCTATGTTTCTTCTCGGCCGCCGAAAATTTAGAATAGGCCGTTTCACCCTCTGCCAGCCGAGTATCTACCGGCCGGGGTATCTAGCTAGTCGCGACTCGCTACTCACGGCCAACCACAGCTTCACAATCCATGCGCATATCGTGTATGCCGATCGGTCGCTAATGCTACTGCTGCGCCTACCATCCTAGCGGGCGCCCTGTATACTAGATATAGCTACTCTAGCCATAGTAGGATGTAAGCGAGGGAATTTGCGCGACATCTTCATTCCTCCGGAGGATATACTCCATGCGGAGTACTCCGTAGGGACCGCATGCTCCTTCGGCAAAAGCAAATAAGTGACTGGCATCTGCCTGGTCGTTGCCCGTGCTACGTACTCGTCACGGATATAGAAATCTGCTCACGAGGTGGAGCTCGCGCGATCAATGACCATAATCAATATGACAATTAACGCTGCCTAGCCGGGTTGGGGTTCCCAATTTCCATCGTTGGGATGATTTTCGCCCGTGTCCGATAGAGACCAGCTATTTATATATGGTCCAGGTGCACAGCGATTCCTCTCAAATCCTTCACCAGTGCCACTTGCTAAATCGGCAGGGCTTGCTAGCGGATCGGGCTTGAGTATATCACCACGGGATACTCCTTCCTTTGACTTTGGTTGAATCGTGTGGCCCTGAGGTCTGACTCATGCCTGCTCTCAATTCATTTTCTAAAACGGAGGAGATTTTCAGCGATGACCCAGGAAGGGTACGGTGAGGGTTTGAAAGTTTTTTCAGACCTGTCTGTCCATTTTGTTGAGGGGATTCCGTCGTGATCCTAAAAGGCCGGCCTGAAACGGTTTCATATTTAGGGGCCACGATTTCGCTCGGCACACCAGGCACCAGGCTTGCCTCACCCTCCAACCATGCATCGATCGTATCGTATCACTACCAATTGTCCATATGAGCTTCGGCATGTGAATGATATGGCGCTGTGTCTGTACTCATCACTCGATTGACACCATGTCGGAGTATTGTTCTCGACGCCTCGTACAGTTAGACTCGGTTCGGTCTAGATCTTATGTCGGCTACACCTGTACCATGTTTCTATGGGCAGCGACCGATTGATGACTACATTATACCGATTTCGAAGTGTCAGAGAGTCGGAGTAGGTGAGGAAAAGCAAGGCGCGTGGCTCATTCGCAAACCACCGACTCAACCCGGACTATTCGTGTCGCATCATGGTTCAAGCCGCTTGGCAACCCCGTGCCAGGGCAGCGAGATCACCACGTCTAACCCTAGTGCGGCAGATCTAAACAGTCGGTCGGTCTCCAGGTAAGGCCTGCTTTGGTTTGTTTTATTTTTCCTTTTTGCCTTTTGTTTTCTATTTCCGTCCTTTGTTGGGTGGGCATGGGAGCCTGATAATAGCTGGCAGAAATGTCATTCTGGAAGAGGACCGAGTGCTTGCAGGACTAAAGGACTTCCAGCTTCACCATGATATATAAACCCAGGCCAGTTTGGTTGTGAGCGGCAGAAGTACTCAGTAGGCATGAGCCTGTCGTAAGCCCCTATGGAAAGTCGAATGACAAGTCCACGGGACTGCATTATGTGGCCAGTGATGTGGCGATTGATGATCGACTTGATCCTACGGAATACGTTTCGATCTTCTTCTCTCAGCGGAACAAGAGAAAAGAAACGAAAGAAGAAAAAAACAAATTGCATGACAGACCTGCCATGTTGACGCGAACCAACGGATTGCTAAAAGACGAACCATGGTTCTGGGGAATGGATGTTTACTTGTTGCTACAGGAACTTGAATCCATGAGATAATCCGAATTTCGTTTGTGTGATTGGATTTTTATTTATTTAATTTTTTCTGGGTCTCTTTTGTGGCCGTGCGTCGCTTCTGTTGGGATCAGTCCAGACGTGAAACTGGAAAGACAGAAGATGCATGCAATGAGCATCACGGCGCAGACGGACAAGACGAAGGATTCGCCTGGCAGCTACGGAGAACTAACATACTAGCAATTCTCCTCCAAGGCGACTACTGTCTGTCATGCCATCCATCGCCTTTTAAGTGATATCACAGCGATCAGCCTCTCTTATTCTCCGGGTTCTGGAGCCGGACTGGAGCCAGCGCTCCACCATCGCCTCTTCCAGCCACCGGAATATTACCAGCAACAAGTCCTTTTCATTTCCCTTCCTCTCGCTGCAAAGTTATAATTAGTAGGATTCGATGTCGATGGAGAAGCTGTTGATTTTCTCCCCCCCCTCCCCCTTAGTTAGTGCCCGGCCATTTCTGCTGGTGTAGAAAGGAAAGAAGAATATATGAGAATCGCAGTCCCTCATCCCCCCCTCCTTCAGGCGGTCCCACAACCAATAGATCGAAATTTCTCCTTTGCTTCTCGCCTTCTGATTGATTGAGTGACGGAGAGATGCAGCATCGTTTGGATGCCTGACCAGTTTGCCCATGTCCCACGTAGCAGCTGGCAGCCCAGTGCCGGCATCTTCCTCTTTCCCCGTAGACCTTCTTCATCACTCCGTTCCTCGACGACTGCGACGACAGACCGAATCTGCCGTGCAGCAGCAGCAGCAGCAGTCAGAGACTATTCATGCACATCATCGACCGACTCGAGAATCCGGGGGGACAACCCACAGCGCGACGCTTTCCCGACGACCAGGCACCGCTCATGGTCCCACGAGACGAGGAACGCTGAAGATGAATGGGAATATGATGAATTCCTCTGAATCCCAACAGCCTTTGTCGCCTGCCGATCCCCGTGACACGGGCAGGGCAGGCGCGCTAACAACTTCGGCCGGCGACGCCTCCGCGCCCGTCGTCTCTTTCCCATCCTCGCCCTCCGCCTCGACTTCACAAGTGCCGCCGTCGCCTCGCGTTCCCCAGACTCGCTTTAATTTCGAATATCAGTACCCGCTGCGCCGAAGGGCCCTGACTTCCCAGACCGGACTCCCCTCGGTCGACGCTTCCCCGACCTCGATTCCCGATCCCGACCCTGTTTCAGCTTCGGCTTCAGCTTCCACCCCCCCAACCCCCCAGCGCACGCTGTTGCACGACCGCTCCCGGCGCTCGGTCCCGGGCTTCTCTTTTTCCCAGCCTCACCGTCGCACTCCTGCCGCCTCCGCCTCGCAACCTCCCTCGCCCGGACTGGCCCTCGAGGAGGACAGCGACTCCGCGACGCCCCTGGATGCGACCGGCTCGACCGTTCGAGTGCTGAGTCCCAATGCGACGAAGCGTCGGAAACAGTCCTTCAACGCCCATCAAACGTCGCCGAATGTGAAGAGAAGAATGCCCTCCTCCACCGTATCTTACCTGCAGTCGAGAGCGCCGACAGATGAGCGCGCCCATCGCGCCGTCAATGGAAATGGAATGGAAAATGGATTCGATAAATATGGCTCGGAGGACGGGGCCAGAACCCCCGTCGCGGACGACTCTCGACTCAAGAATGAGGACATTTTCTTGAATATCGCTAGATCGGACTCCACTCGTCGCGAATCTTTCGGACGATCAGACTTCAGACGGGTGAGTGAGTTGATCTTTCTTTGTTTCTCATCCGTTCGAGAGGAGACGGCGGCGGTCGGATCCCGGCCGACGAGGCAGAGGTCTCTTTGTGAATTGGAAGGGATAGGAGAGAAAAAAACAAAACAAAACATGCTAACAGGAACAGTCACGATTTAGGATGTCAGGGAGTGGTCTTCGCACCCCAGCCTCCCGTGCTAACGAGCCAACCCCGTCGCCCGATCAATTACGATCGAATAACTACGCTACCCCCTTGCATTCCAACAATGGTTCCCCTTCCAACCCGTCCGGCCCTCGAGCCTACTCCTACTCGCTCTCTGAACACCCTCTCGAGGATCATTCCAAGCCCCACCACTCGGGCTACGTTGCCAGCTCGAGGACCGCCATCGGTCTACCGCGCAGCCGTCTAAGCAATGTTGGCATCGACAGCTCGTCCCAGTACCCCGAGTCAAATGGAGAGAGGCGAGCGTCGTTCCAGGATCCTCGACTTTTCCGCAATTCGACGCTGTCGACCATCCGTAGCAGTAGGCAAACCTCCACTTCGGAAGCGACCGAGCGTGCGCGAATCGAGTCCGATCGAACGCGACAGGACGGCACCGAGTCGACGCTGTCGACGACATCCCCTTCAACCGTATGGGATGAATTGGAGGATCTGAAGTCCCGGATTCGCAAGTTAGAATTGACCGGCAAGCTGCCACCGTCTTCGCAGGAGGCGATTTCGTCGGCCTCCGCGGACCGACCACGAACTGCAACAACTACCGTGACAACGGTCTCGTCTTCCCCAAATCATGGCCGTCAGACGAGTAACCCATCGGCCGAATCCGAGACCGTTCCCCCCAACCCAGTCCACCCACTTCTTCAATCGGCAATGGCGAAGGCGAAGACCCTACTGAACAAGGAGGTGTACATGACTTTGGATGCCACCGTGACAGACGCAATCGCTCTGTCGAACAATCTCCACGCCCATAAAGCGTCATCGAGCGGCGTGTCTGGCGTGAATGGCTATGGCACGTCTGATCGACAGTCCCGACGGAAGGCCGATAGCGTGTGCCGAAGCTTGACCGAGCTCTGCCTGGCATTGTCGGATGAGCAGCTTCGCCGGCAGCAAGCTGCAGATCAGGCGAAGCCACAGCAGCCGAATGGGGTAGCAGAGGAAGAGACTTATGCGCCCGCTGCGCCCGCGCTGCCGCACCAGCAGAGCACGACTCGTGAACCTGAAGGACTGGCCCGACGGCAGAGCACTCGTCTCACAAGCCGCCTGGAGGCCCGCCGAGCGAGTTTGGCGCAGCCCAACGCGAGTCCCTCCGGTGAAAACAGTAGCACCGTAAACCGCAGCAGTGATTCCACGCTGGACGCCAAGCAGCCTCATTCACCGGGTTCTTCCACCCCTCTGGATCGACCCCTGGGTAGACTCAATCGACTCTCGACCTCTCTGCGAGTGAGGAGGGTACAGACCGAAGATGAAAACCCCGCGAGTGCACCCCCTGGCCGGTCGATCTCGAGAAGTGTGACCGAAATTGCCAATCCAGCAGCCACCCATCGGTCACCGCGACAGCGCATTTCGTATGGCTACACCACCTCTCAGCAACCTCCGGAGATTCCGCAGGATCATAACGCCAGGTTCTCGGCTCAGTCGCAGCAATCGCAATCGCAATTGCCCCAGCCTCGCACCCCAACCGCCTCACAATCCGGTATTCCACTCCGTCGGAGCCTGATGACGCCGACCAGTTACACTCCGGCCACGCCGCGATCAAACATCCAAGCCGGTTCACGCCGATATGGCTTATCTGCTGCTGCAACATTTGACGGCACGATGGACGACGCGTCGTCGTCCATTGCACCAGCCGAGTCGGCTTCTCACACCCGCATCGTTGCCCCTTCGACCAAAGTAGCCGGCAGCTACACTCCTATCTCGCAAAATCGCCTACGAGCCAACAGCCTGGGGGCTCGACGATTTGGCATGCGATCCCGGCCGATGGCCGCTGGTAATGACGCTGTAAATCTAGATGATAGCATTGATTGATTGTTTTGTTATGTAACGCCCTTGAAGATCATCCTTACGCCTCTTTCTGTCTTACGCAGCGACTCATAACATACATACCTGGGTATTTGGAACAGCCGGTGTTTGATTGCTTTTTTTTTCTTTCTTTTCTTCTTCCTTATTATCTCTCTTTGTATCTTAGTGTTTGATATTCACTGACTAAAGAATAACGGCCTCTTGACGTTTCTCTTTGGGTAATTCACAGATTTGGTATCATGATTCACCTCCTATATTACCTACATGTCCAGTATATTCATCTGTAGAAGAATTCAAATGAAATCTTCCTCCTCTCAGCCTTCTCAATCTATTTCTTCCACCTCGTTTACACCAAAGATTCTCGTCCTCGGGTGTTATCCACTACGCTGAAAAGCTCTATCTTCCTCGAGCCGTTGCAAGAAGCTCCAAAATGTCGGCATTGTATGGCTCCCGACATGTATCCCAGACCAGAGTATTCCACAATCATACCGAATGTGGAATGCTTCATTTTCTTCATAAAAATTGTCAGCTTATCAATCGTCTGGCAAATACTGCAAGTCTCGTCATGGAAAAGGTAACGCACAGCCAAATCTCAAGATGGCTATTTCGTATGCCTGATTATAGGATGCGAAATGGTCAAGATCATTACGTGTTCTAGTACCATCTCGCCGATTTACTGAAAAGCAACACTTCTGTTCGAACTATATGTTCCGCAGGTTTAATCCCGCGTGATGTCCAACGTGCTTTTATTGGACGTCATGATCGAAAAATTGTTAGTCCATACTTTCTACGGATTTTTTGTGTCAACATTATAGTTGACTGGGGCTTTTGTGCATAGGATTAGCCAACACTAAAAACCTTCTTGACGCATAAATATTTGCAACGCTAATCTGGTGATTGCCAGATAATTCTGGGTGCAATAATCACCATTGGATGCTCAAAAAGTTGCCCCAGGGAAAGCCGTGTCCTGGGAAGATACTCGTTGAGCTAAAAGACCATCTTGACTACCGGCTTTCAGAAGAAATTAGCCTCCCAATATGTCTCATTCCTAGCTATTCGGGTTCCCTGACGTCCTGATGTTCGACGCAGAGGTGTGATCTAATGGCCTAGCCAAATGTACTAAGTCCGAAATATAAAATGAAACAACAAAAAGATACCTGCCCGTTATAAAACTTTAACGAGAGCCGGCAACGTACTACACCGGACTGTTTGAGCGATAAAAAACCCACGCTCGAATTACTCGATAAGAAACAACGAAAAATATGAATCAAAGAAGGGCTTGAAAACCATTTGGGCTCGGACTCTCTAATAAGCCCCAGTTTGAAGATACCTTTGCGATGGTCATGGTAGAGATATTTGTTCTAAAAGACCATTTATCCCTCCATTCAGTTACTTATGCCAGAAAAAGCCATGCTCACAAATATTGGGATATGGTGGCTTTGCTTTAAGATCTGTTGATTAAGCTCACAACTCCCCCCTCTGAATGACCTGTTCATGAGCATGAACAATACACATCCGAAAGAGCACCTTGTTCTTTGCAAACTTCATTGTCTCCCCTGGCTATTGGGATTATAATGCAACATCCCATTCTAACAAACTCTATGGACATATATTCTCACAGCCATCCTCCCAGAAATAGGAATTACCTTAGCATCCCCGGCGACCGCCGTTGACAGGCCGAAGAAGAGGAGCAGAGAAAAGTATCGTGGCACACAGCAGAAGCTGGTGCTGGCTTTTTCGTTCCGACCCCATCCGGGTGCCTAGTGGTGCCAGTTTCCTCATTACGGCGCTTATTGTGGCACATAGCAGAAGCGGTGCTTTAAACGCGGCTATCGTATCATGGAATGCGAGGTATATTGGGGGGTGAGCGCCGAGGTCTACGGTTCGCTTGTCGAGCGCTGTTATCGGTGCCACCGCTGCAAAATAATTCCGCTCGGACCGGCTACATACGAACCGGAGTTGTTCCTCGACGTGGCTCGTCTCGCTATGGCACTCGGTTTGATCTCCCCTTTCTGAGAGAGGCTCAAAGCACGATTCCGTTTCTTTTGGGACATCTGGGAGGATCAAACGACAGTTTGCATCAGCAAACTAAACCTGGAATACCTGGTCTACTCATTGGAGAACCGAAATCCACATGCTAGCCTGTGACGTTGACAGTTTTACAAGAACATATCCAACGCCTAGAGTGTCCCTGATTCCGGAAAGATTTTGAATCCCATGGAACGGACGCAGACACCTGGTTAGGTCGGGCCGTTGAACCCGCCTCCGAGTGTTCAATATCAGGAAAGTCGACAATACATGTTCGACTTGAATCTGACATATGGAATTATTTCTACATACCAAGAGTCCATATTTCTTCGCCAATTTAATCATCCGACTCTTGGTTGGCGATTGGAGTATAGCCCAGTCATTCCATACTCAAATTCAGCAGCAGAAGGAGAAGTTACAGTCAGGCAATAACAGGCCCAGAGGCCTGGGGCATCGCCCCCAAAAACAGGGTCACAATTCCTCTTGACATTCACATGTATTCGGTTTCTGTAGCATGGCCGCTCGGAATATCTGACTTCTATAGTCGGTGCCCTGGCAGAGGACGATGAGATCTTTAGACTTGCTCCTGAAAAGAAACCTCTCGTCCGCTAACAAAATGACACAATCCTAAAGACAGCATGGCGAATGAAACGGCCTACCAATGTACCGGATCAGTTAGAGCGCGACCTTCGAGTCGACCTACCAATCGACAACCCAAGTGTAAGCATTGTGGGAGCTGCAGACTACGCAATTTGGTATGGGAACCAGGAAGAGGACCAAGCGACTTGCATTTGTCTGATTGAGGCCAAGATCTCAAAAGCTAGCCATGGGTAAGAATCTTTTCAATATTCATTTTCAAACTTGGTTACCCTAATACGAGGATTGCTAGGGATGGTCCTTAACATTCGAGAAAGGGACGAAGAATCGGTATGACTCCGTACACAGTGTAATCGCGAAAGGGGCCAATACAGACAGCTACCGGATTGAACTCCATGGTCAGAAGACCTCACACAAGATCGATCAGTCAAGCGGGCCCGACTGCCACGAGGTGACCCTGCCATAGTAACCGGCCCTGATAGTCCATCCATGCTGGTGGCGCGCCTACACTACACGCTAATGGGAGAAGCAATGGCACCAGCAGAATGCGGGGACTCGAGCGAAGAGGAGTCCTTGTGAAAAATGGGATCCGACTAAAACCTACGATCACAAGTTGAAGGACGACTACTTCAGAAAGCCGAATGACAAAGCGACAGGGTAATTGAAAATGCATTGAACAATCTCGGTATGATGCGGAAAGACGCTGGATACTCGCCTTGGCCCAGATGATATCCACCTTGACTATACTTGGTAGATCAAGCTAATATCAGGCTCCTACACACTCGCTTTTGCCCCGGCTATCTTAACATGAGCAACCACATTCGTTGTATATTTTTTAACGCAGAGCATTGTAGCTTGCAAAAAGCTGTTCATTGAACGGATCCAGCTTGTGGCATAGCTTACACACATATGCACGTTTACATTCGCTTTTTCCCCCCAATATGGTTCACACACATTCGTTGTATGTATGTACATCTGGACCCACAGTAATCCATCTTCTAACCTCTTTATGCCACTGGTCAATTTTTACACCCGTCCGAATCGTCAAGCGATTCCGGAGACGAGGGGAGCTCGGGATCCGGGCGTATAGAGGAAGACGGAGGACTCTTAGCAACGAGTTCGCTGGTACCCGACAGCCCATTCTAGCGAGCTATATAGGCCTTGAAAGAAGGAGACCAATCGCTTCCCGAAGAAATCGCAAGAGTCAGCTGTTTCGAAGGCCTTTGCGTCTCATCCAGAGCCAATCTTCTCAGGCTCAAAGTCTGAAGCTCTACTTCGAAACCCGGCTGGCCAGTCAATAAACAACCAGGCAAAATGCGTCATAAAACGTGGCAAATCAGAGGGAAAGCCCATCGACAAATCAGCAACAAAAATGCGAAAGAAAAACGGAACCGTACACCCTATCGCTATAGCAGCAAAACAAACAAGAGAACTTATCTGCTATAACTCCTCGGCTATATGTTTGCACAAATTGCATTTTTACGGAAAGCTAGAAGTGTGGGCTAATTTTGAAGACAGGCGGACGCACGCTTCACATTGGCACTGAGCAACATGCTGGTGTTTTCTGGACTGCGTAATAAGACCATACCAGTTGAGCTCCTGCGGGGAGGCAAAGACAGGCAGATTAAGCTGCCTGCCGCCAATGCAGTTTCTCTGCGCTCTATTACTGCTAATGACCTGCCGACACGTCTTCAGATCCAAAGTGAGTACTTGTGTATTCTGCCAGAGCTATCTTTCACCAAATCAGAATTTAGAACCAACCAATGGGATTCCGGTCAAGGAATAACGGGCTCATCGCTCTCGAAAGTCTGCGCAACGAACACTACGTCGCGGGGGACGAAACAGGCGTCCAGGACCGGTTCCAAGAACACACTGGCCAGGTAATGTCTGCGGTATACTCTGATCCGAACATGGATAGGGGATTTTCGGGCATCAACATCAAAATATGGAAAAGTACCGGTTATGGCCGGCATGGCTGGTATACAGAAGATTCTACTATGATGCAGAAACCGGTCATCTGATTATCAAGTGTATAACCCCTGAGCACGAATCTTCCCATAACGCCCTCACCACTGTACTCACTGAGAAGAGGCATGATATGGGTACTGTTCAGGATAATCTAGTGAATACTCCTGACTGGGGTCGAGATCCCTAAGAATCGACGTCTAGCTAGCAGGGGAGGATCAATCGGACCAGAACAAACATACCTATTCGACGAGTACCGACAGAAACGAACTGTTCGGTATGGGAGCCACGACCTACCAAGCTTACTCCAGAAAGATGATTGATTTCTTATGGAATTCTTCAATAAAACGAGATTGGAAGGAGAGTGCACAAGCCCAGCAAGATATTGTTAATTTGCTTATTTTAATTCTTAGTCA